TGATCGTCTACACAAGAGAGTCAGCCCTCATCCTATTTCAAATGTCACCAGCAGTAGACAGATGAAAGATGGTGGATTGCTGGTCTCAATGCTCATCACCAGGAATAATCTTGACGCGGTCACCGAGTATCCTTCCTACCTCGGCGAGTATGGCTACAGTGAATGGCTAGAGATCCGCCAAGCCATTTAGCATTCAAAATCAAGACATAAGCTGATAATCGAAGACATCATCAGCGATCTGATCAAGAAGATGTCCAGGTATGTCGCTGTCCCTAAAAATTCTACTCTGAAGAAAGGTGGAAGAAGAAAAAGACCTTCAAGTCCTAATGACGGACCAACCCTGAGGAACGAACATGAAACAAAGTTATCCTTGGATGAAATCTTGAAGGCTACGAAGAAGCCATACATTTCTATGTTGAATCCCTCATTGCCAGCGAAGGGTCCTTACATACCCAACCCTGTGCACATCAAGTCTGAGTTAGGATTTATCTTCCTTGACTATGAAGGCGAAGTCAACTTCCAAAGAATGTATAAGTTACATTTATGCCCAATGGAACATCTCGCATACATCAGATATTAGCTAAAAGATGATATATATGGTGAAATGATGGACATTAAGATCAGACAGGAATTTCAACGTCGAAAGGAGCTCGGAGAAGAAGTACCTGGCTACATCAACCTGAGCAACTTAAATTAGTTATTTCTATTTTGTAATTTGTCATTCACTGTATACCTTTTGTATTCTATGTCGACTTTCAGTGTTCAACTTATATATTGTAAGTCTAAGAAATGTATTGAAAAATTTGTAATATTTCCTTTGAATTAATATAAGTGTTTCATTTGCATAACTGAAAAAGATCCCTGAAAAGAGTAATAAGGACACATGTCTATGAGTTCCAGTGTTCTCTTACATTCACTGACAATCTATAAGTCAATGAACATGCCTTCAGTTTCAGTTTCCCTTCGTATATCTTTTCTTAAACTTGTAAGTTTAATAAATTTACTAAGTAAAAACTGACTCACTGAAAAAAAGATCCCAAAACAGTTAAAAGGGACATGTACTTTATATGTAATTTTTTTTACTGTTGTTTGATAAGGCAACTTTCTTTATGTTTCTTTGTTATCAACAAATAGGGGGAGATTGTTGATTCTCTCTCTCATTGATTTGATGATTATCCCTTTTACCTTTTATGAAGTATTATGTTTCTGTCTTTCAGTTACATCGATCATCACTGAGTCTGTTCAGTGATCGCTGAAACATGTATTATAAATCTATTAGTGACAACGATACTTCAAGAAGACAAAACTCACACCAAAGAACCTTCAGCAAAATTCGAAGACTGAAACTGAAGATTAGTAACTAGTGCGTTCGTGATCTGAAGCGACATTCAGTGATTACAACCTGGTCAACATATGTATGAAGACTGCCCAAGCCTCAGCGAATACTGAAGAGACCTTCAGGGTTATTCTAGCATTCAACAATCAAAAGAAGCTTGTTGTGCAAGATTGCTTTTGCCTTGTCCTTCCACACACAAAGAACAAACGCATATCCTTTTTAGAGTGTAGTACGGTACAGAGCCAATTAGTCGACTCTATTACCCGCCAACTCCATGAAAGGATGTTTTTCATGAATAGGCTTTTGTACTTTTCACTGTAGCAAAGGACAAGCTTTTCTCTAAAATCTTGACACGTGTTCAAACCCTACTGCATTGCATTAAATGTGCATTTAATGCAACGGGTATAAATAGATAAGTGTTCTCTCCATTCTAACAACTATGTGCCTAAACACAACAGATCGCACACACACACACACACACACACATCTAAGAACATTTACGCTTATCTTTAAGCAAGTTAGAATCCCTTTCAAGTATTCTAAAAGTTGTTTTCCAGAAAGAACTTATTTCCTTCTTTATATTTCAGCAAATCTTTTCTCTTTGCTAAGAATATTCTATGTGTAAACTTAGATTGTTTTAGGTAGGTTTTTCTTTAGCTTATCTATTTTCGCATACAATCTTGTAAAAATATGTATTGATCTTTCTTTATCAAAATATATATTTTTAAATTTGAAAGTTTCATGTGTTTGTATTCATTCCCCCCCTCTATAAACTGTTTCTATAAAAGTCATGTAGACCCTAACAAGACCAACACATATTATGCTATTTTATTGATTATAAATCCTTGTTTGTTCATATTCTTTCCTCTAAGAACAAACAATTTTTTTTATCTTTCTCATGGTTTTATAAAACCCTTTTTAGAAGAATTTTTGGTACTTTGATCCAAAAATGTCTCTTTTCTCTTTAAAGTACTTGTTTATTGTACATTTTGTACCTATAAATACTACTTTCAAAAAACTCTCATCTTTTTTTGACAAAAGTTTAGTACTTATTCACTAAAAGTATATGTTTAAAAGAATACTTTAGTATTTCTTTTACTAAGTTTGTTTTTACTCATTTCTTTTCTATTCTTTGGTACTTTCTATTTTTTTTTTTACCAAAAATAGAAATGGAAATCGTACAAAGTATTAACTTCAATCTAAATGAAATCACAATCAAGGAAAACAATTACCTTCTTTGCTCAAGATTCCAAGAACATGATCCCAATTTAATGATGCTGCAAAATTCTTGAAAAACTTAGTGATCGATCATGCTCTGATTTTTGAACCAGTGGCAGTCAAAGACTTTCTGATGAAATTTTGGTATTCTGCTCTTACGGTTGAGGAAACCAAAAAGGAAAAAGCACTAACAAGGATATTCTTTGATATGGATAACCAAAATTCCAGCTTTGGTCCTGCTACTCTTTGTTCAGCACTAGAGATTCCCAAGAATGCTCCCTATGTCACCGAGCCCACTACTAAAGAGATTGTGGACTTCCTTGACTCCATAAACTACAACTAGCCAAAGAAGGTCTGGGACTCGACATAATTGAACAAATTGCTGACAAAGATTGAAAAGAATAGGATGTCAGCTGCTTGGAGTTTTCTTTTCTTGCACTTCATTCAGTGCATAGGAGGAAGAACAGGTGGGGGGGGTCAGGAGCAAATGGAGGGGGGGTTAGGAGCAAGCCAGCTGTATCGCTCTAAACATTGGGTACTCCATAGTCTACAATAAAAATGTATAGTACGCTAAGCTCTTCTTTGATAACTCGGTGATAAAGCTAAACAAACATCAACGAGAAAAGGTGGTCTTGTACACTCTCTTCATCAACGGTGTACTTCAGCGAATATTTAGGGACAAATACCCAAAAAAAGGGACCTTCAGCACCCGAGGCTAGGAAGTCAAATCATAGACCATAAGACCACACCATCTGACATTTCACTATTTCTATGTGTGCTTGATATTGCTTATCCCACCTCTTCTTCTCTTCCATCAGCAACCATGACAATGGTTGAACCACCATTGCCTACCCAGGTTACAAAACCAAAATCTCTTTGAATAAAACACAATCTAAAGTCTCTCTTGCTCCTAGCAAGACGACCAAGATATCAAAACCAAGGAAAACTACATCCTGCCAGGGTGGGGCCTCTCTATAGGCTCAACTCTCAGATTTTGGTGTTCTCCCTACACCACTTGCTTCAACCCAACTAGACACAACAAAAATATATGAAGTCGTTGATGCTTTTGTGGAATCTACCCAACCAGCTTCAGTGACTCAACTTACTGAATGCTCAATTTCAAGCATCTCCACTGCCTTTGCCACTCACAACATCACAGCCCCCTTATCAACAACAGTTGTTGCTTCTCCTCCTTCATTGGTCTTCACACAGGTCAGTGAACCATCTGTGGTTTTCTTGACAACTAATGAGACCCTAACTCCAACTATGAAACAACCTATAAGGTTTTGACACTCTACGAAATGGACTAGTCTGAATGGCACGGGACCTGAGGCTTCTTCAAACAAGCTTCCTCAGAAACCGATCTCTGATTCTCAAGATGGTTTTTTTTCACACTCCACCTCTAACGCAGTAGGTATAAATAGCTAAGAAGACTCCTCTTCTCAACAACCACTTTCTTCTCCTTTTATCTCTTGTTCTTATCTCCTTCAATGCAAACTGTTTGTTTCTTAGATTGTTTAGATTAGGTCTTAACCTTATCTTCTGTTGTAACAATCTGTAAATTCTATGTTGATCTTCTTTTATCAATAAGCGAATTTAAAAAGTGAAAATTATGTGTGTGTAATCACCCCCCTTCTATAAGTTGTTACCTTTAAAACTCCTGTAGATCCATTTGGGACCAACAATGTGGTGTTCTATTGGTCTTCGGGTGCAATGGCAATTTGGTTATAGGCAAAATATCCATCTAAAAACCAATAGTACTCCTTACCAGCTAATCTATCCAACATTTGGTCAATAAAAGGCAAGCAAAATGGTGTTTATGGGTTGCCTTATTGAGCTTCCTATAATCCATACAGATTCTACAGCCTGACACACCTTCCTTTTTAAGAAGACACAGGAGAGGACTTACCCAAGAACTTCCAAATATGGGGATAAATTATTCCAACATCTAATCACTAAAGTATCTCTCTTTTGACCACATCTTTCATAACAAGGTTAAGTCTCCTTTGTGTTATAATTGTTTGAGAACTGACAATTCCTTTTATTCAAATAGTTTACAAATTCAGAGTTTTGACTGCAATGGTCATAGGTATGTCCATCACCACAATACACATATTGTATAAGCAAGAATGCAGAAGTAGAGGTTGCAACAACATTGTTTAGAATGGGGGCAACTCCTATGTTTTTAGTCATGTTGGCCATCGAGGTGAGTTGTGAAGTAAGTGAAGTATACAGATCTACTTCATGAATACCTCCCGGAGTCCTTTTAGGTACTATTGCACATGGATCCCACCAATGACCTTTGTTATTTGAAATCTTTTCCAATATTTCAAAACCATCATTATAGGTACTTGATGTAAAGGGTCCTGCTACATATCATCGAGCATCTATTTAGAATTAGTATCTAAACCATTGTAGAATATCTTTATATGAATACCGTAGGGGAATGCCATGGTGAGGGCATTTCCTTAAAAAAATTTTGAACATTTCCCAAGCATACCAAATTGATTCATCTTCCATTTGTCTAAACATGGAAATTTCATTTTTGACTTAGCATTCCATATTGGTGGAAAAAGGAATTCGATAAATTTTCAACCATGTCATTCCAAGTGACAACTAAATCTGGTTGCAAAGAGTTATACCAAGATTTTGATCTATCTCGGAAAAAGAAAATAACTCTAGCTGTAAGGATTCATTAGTTACTCTATTGAGTTGAAAAAAATTGTGATCTCCCTGAAAGTTAAGATACAAACAGCGATCTTTAGACGATATTCCATTGAACTATCCATTGAATTGTAACATATTAAGGATTACAAGTTTCAGTTTAGAGAGAGCACATTCAATCTGAGTTCTAACAATGCTTGCGTGTAATTGCTCAAATGCAATCATAATATAGTCCATGATACCTTCATTTTTAGAGTTTGCAATATGAATGAGTCCGGAGGATTAGGCATTGGTTCTAGTCCAAACACAGCTGCCATGCTAACAATTTAGAAAACAGGTGACAAAGTTCTTGAGTTCTTCTCCTTCTACTGAAAGTTCTTTCAATGTCAGGATCCAAATCATAAATTTCACCATGCAACAAACGTGGCATGCAACTGAAAATCAGTAAGAAAGGTAGTAGAATCAAATTATAAAAGTGACTAAGAAAATACGTTCTTTGGTTTGTCTTTGGCAACGACGCCAAGAACTTGGTTGGTGGATTATGTAACTCGAAAATCAGAAATGGAATTTCATGCAAGTACACATCCTAGACTACATCATTTGAAAACAAATACTAAAGTGGTACAAAGTACCAAATAACATTCCAACAGAAAAAATTAAAACAAACATAAATCTCATGCCTAGCTTAACAAGTGGTTTTAGAAAGTGAATTCGAAGAAATGCTTTTGAGTGAGTTAATAATAATTTAAAGTGCTTAAAACAGAATAAAACAAAGAAAGGGTGTAAGATCGGGCTAGATTTTAGCAACTATGTGATGGGAACCTTGCAGCATTAGTTCTCAGCCACACTATCAGATGATACAACCCTTTTTCAAGGTTTGAATTAGACTATGTACCAAAAATACCAAATTAAGTAACCCAACTAATGTTATACATATCTTACTGTTCTCTCCGTATAATTTGCAACCAGTTAAGGTTGACATAGTTTTTTTACAACAATCTATAACATGTCGTTGTTCTGAAAGTTATGTTGGCTTTCAATCAAAGTCCAATTCATTCAAGTGAAACAACGTATGTTATCTCGTCAAGAATACTAGGATGAAACTCAAAACCAAGGAGTGAATAGTGGATTTGATAGCTGATAGTGAAAGCAATTACACACAATCTGATAGGCCTTTATCTCCCAACCTTTACTTACACCCAAGATATGATATTAGCCCATCATCGTTTGAAAAATAATGAAAGCAATAATTGGAAAGATTGAATTTAAAATACAAAATTACAAAGTAGAAAGCATCTTACAAGTACAAAAGTTGTATAAGCTAATATCTAAAGGTTTAAAGCATCTAATGTCAACAACTTAGTACACAATTCTTTAAACATGCGACATATCTTTATTTCTTTTATTCCATAAAAGATGCTCCACTTTTCAGCTGATAGAAGCGGATCACCAAGGGATTGATACTCTTTCAAAAATTAATGAAGTCAATAGTCCATGAAAATTGTCCCACATTGTGGCTCCTGCTGTAGCACCATAATATTAGCAACTTTTACTCGAAATCATCAAATAAGGCAAATTTGACCTTGTTAACTCTGAACATAATAAATGATAAAAATAGAATAAAAGACTCAATTTTTGCTAGTCGGGAAACTAAAATAAAGAGATATTCCTAAATGAAAAGGGAAAGAAGACCCAATCTCTGCCTTCAACCCAAAATATTTTGGGATCATTGACCCAAATGAGCATGTCACTCGATACAGATTATATGGGCTATGTAGATCCCCCAGAATTACTAAGAAGTTTGCACGATATAGTTTTCGAGCAACATTGACTGGCACCTCCTTACAGTGGCTTATTAACCTTAAGCCAGAGTTTATAAATTCCTTCACTGATATGGTAAACAAGTTCTTCCAACAATTCATGAGTAGCATAAAAATGGAAAAATAAACAAGTGACCGTTATTACGTCACTCAAAAGCATGGATAATCATTTTGAAGTTATTTCAACCGATTTAACTCTGAAATGATCAGCATACGAAACTGTGACGTTCAGAAGATATTAGAGGCGTGCAAAAGAGGACTCCAACAATATTAGAATCGTATTTAGAATTGACAAAATATCTAGTTGAAACTTTCAAAGACGTACGTGTTATGACACTTAACATATGCGCATTGAGGATGACAAGCATAACCTCCATAGAAAGTCTTTAAGCGTCAAACGCCCAAAATAAAGAGTTAAGTTAGCATAGATTCAAGTCTATAACACAGTTAGATCAAGATCAAGAACACATAGATAGATTCAAATATGTCGACATGTGTATTGATGAAAGTCAAAGTACAAAGTGTTCTGAGTTCCCAAAGCTTGTAAACTTACACTATAAAGAAATGTTAAAACATATTAAGCACAAGGACTTGAATACAATATTTTTGACTCAACAATCTCCCCATTTGGATTGAAGTCCAAAAACAGCAAAGTCTTCAGATCTTTAAAACTTCAGCTTCATCAACAATGATCGTCAGAATTCATTTAGAAGCTTGACATCTTCAAATTTGATCTTTCAAAGATTTTACAATCTCCCCTTTGAAAACTCTTCCTATACTCGACTTTTAGACATTCTTCAATTCTTCAGAACTTTTACAATCTCCCTCAGTCTTTGACAAACTTCTTCAAAGAACAATCTTCTTTAACTTTTAACAATCTTCCCCTTGAATATTATAGAAAACATGTAATCTTCCTTTGCATTCATCTTCAATTTTCTTTCAGTCTCCCCGTTTGAAACACATCAAAATAATCTTCAAATGAACTCCTTTTAACAGTAACTCCCCCTTAATCACAACTTGACAAGAATCTTTAGCAATAATCTTCATTGATTTTTCTTTACTCCCCCTAGAAGCAACAATTTTCATTCATTTTGTATATACTCCCCTTATCTTCAGAAATAACTCATTCATTTGAAACCTACTCCCCCTTATGATGTGAATGAAGAGCATAAACGTCATAACATGAAATGAATGATTCAAGAATATATGCCATCAATTCATAGTGTTTTAAGCAAGCTTTTCATATTCACTTATTTGTTATTTTGAGAACATGAGATGGGGAAAAACCAGATTCAACTTATGAACCCATTTTCAATATTTAAAAAAATAATTGGTTTGTGAATACAACAGATATATTCAGTACAATGAATGTACTTTGTGTTGGATCAAAATGTTGTATTCAGGTCACGTTCTTAAACAGTTTTACTTGCTTTGTAATAGTTGGTTTATTTCTTTGTAATGTTAGCTTCTTTCCTATTCTAATAGTTGGTATAAATAGAAGGTTTGTTGTAAAGTTGGTTAACTAGTTTTTCATACATACAAACAATAAGTGAGATTGAGAGAGAATCCGTGTACATGATCAAGAACATTGTATTACATTTGACTGCAATAAAATTGTCGACTGATTTAAATCATCATTCTTGTTCTTGATTAATTGTTTGATTGGTTGATTTAAACTTGAATCTGGGATCACAATTGGTATCAGAGCGGATCAGAATTGACTGGATTGGATTTAGGATTGAAATTTTGCTTTGATTTCTTGATTCGAGCGTATTGGGTTTTTGTTCTTGCAAATTTTGATAAATTTGGATTGTTTAATCCACCATTGCTAAATTTGTTTGTGTTCAATTTGTTTTTGCATACATTGCAAACCAATCTATGCAAGAAACTACATTGATTTTGCAATTTTTAGGCTGTTTGAGTGATTTTTGTTGATTTCTAGTTTGAAGTTCTTGTCATTGGACAATGAATATTCATCATCCAACCAGTGTTATTTTCATCGCCCATTGAATGTTCTTGAGTGATTCATCGTTCATTGTGGAAATTGTTTTCATCACTCAAAATCATATTTTGTATTAAGTGTTTGTTCATCGCTCAATTCTTGTTGAAATTTTTCTAAAGTGTGGATCCTCATCGCTCAATACTTGAACGGATTAATCTGTTTTTTTAGCCTTATTGCTAGGTGTTTTGTACGATATCTTTCAAGAATTTTCTCATCGATCAAAGTCTTGTGCGATATACTTCCTCATCATACAAAAGGGTGTCCGATAACCCTTGTTTATTGTTCACTTTGTGTCCGAACATCATACTTCATCGCTCAATTGTTGCTAATCATTCAAGTTATCTTCATCGCTCATAGGTATGTGCAATAACTTTCCTCATCGCTGATAACCTTGTCTAATAACTTCTCTTATCGTGTATTGCCTTGTCCAATATAGTGTTGTCCGATAACCATTTTTTGTTGAGCGAATAACAAGTCTTTTCCGATAAAGACTTGTCCGATAACCTATCTTGTCCGATAAAAGCCTATCTGATAATCTCAACTTGTTGTCCGATAAGCTATCTTTTGTTGTCTGATATCTTGTAATCCTTTGTTGAGCAATAAGAATTTTTCTGGAATTTTGTTAAATGTCAAGAAATTCTTTGTGTTTTTAAAATCCAGTCCCAGTTACTTTTTCTGTAAAGATCAAGTTCAAGTCTTATCTATACTATCTTATTAAACAAATTTATCAAAAGTCTTAAAGTTTTAAAATACTAAATGACCAAGATACCCTTTATACTTTTTCACTTTTTCACCCCCTCGTCTCCTCACATACACTCACCCTCTCACAACTGATTTTTTTTAATTATAATTTTAAATTTACACTTTATACCCCTATGATTAATTAACTAATTTACTTTACGTCCTTTACTTTTAAATGTTTCATTTTAAACCTTTATCAAATTACATACATAATCGTATACGAATTAAAACATGTTTAAAAATACATTTTTATTTTAACAAGTTACACCATTATAATCGTCTCGTTAATACCTTCGAAATGAGTCCAATATTGAATAGTTTTTTT